GACGGACAGAATCAGACACTCACTGGCTGCGGGTAGCACTTGATGCCTTCCATATCCCTCCTTGGTTGGGGGACCACCTGACCGTTTAGCTCACCCAGCTCTATCCTATCTCTGCCCCTTCCCAGTCTCCACCCTGGGAAGCGGTAGCACCAACACAGGAGGCATTGTATGCTTTCAATGTGGTCTATTCAGACACACATAGCCCCCTTCCCATTACTCAGTGCTAGTGTTGTGACCCTCAGAAAGAGCCACACCTCTGGGTCCCAACTGAAGGCCTGAGGCTACAGTGAAGGGCACAATGAGATCTGCACACATATGCCTTGCTGGGGGATGGAGACAGAGCCTCCAACCCAGGCACATACCCTCTTCTCTAACTGCTTCTCAGAGAAGCCTAAGAGGGGTGGGGTAAAGGTCCAGGCCCAGGATTCAGGCAACAGATCTCCTGGATTCAGTTCCTCTGAGCTGACTCCTAGTCCTCTTTTGGCTATCCAGGAAATCAGGCTCAGTGTACTTGACCAGACACCATAGCCCTGCCTCAGTGCTGAAGCAGCAGACAGAAAATTGGTGCAGGATGCTTCGATATGTTCAAACCATCAGGCCCATTATGGAGGGTCCATATGCATGACATCTTGCTCCTGAGGTCCATCAATAGCTTGCTCCAAAGCTGGGATCACACAGTCCACCTTTCACTTCGGGCCTCCACGGCCTGCACCAGGCCTTCACCCAACACAGCAAAGTCCTCCAAGATTGCTTCTACATTGGGCACCATCACCACCTCCTCACCCTGAGACACCATCATGTGCCCTTTTGTGCTGGAAGCCTGGAGGAATCAGACAAGAAATGTGGGTTGAGATGCCACAGAGGCATGCCCAGAGACATCACGATGGGGGCAGACATGAGCCCTTAGTCCATGCTGACCCACAGTCATCACCGAGCACACTATACACAGACACAAAGGGCCACAGGGCACCATATGCACAACTCAGGCGCACAGAGCTGTACTGTCCAGCATACCTTGAAGGGCTGGGGCTGGAAGCTGGTGGGCTTCCAGAGTACACCAATCACCTCTCCACCATGCTGGTCATAGAAGAAAAGGGCCAGATCCCCAAAAGCCTCCTAAAAAGGAAGAAAAGAGACAAGATTACAGGTGGGCACTTGTTCCACCAGGAAGTCCCTTTCCCAGTTCAACCAACCCTTGAGGACACACCCTGAGCTGTGTTAGATAGATCTGAGGAGGATCATATCCCAACACTGGCATCAGTGATGAGGGTCGTGGCTCCTTGAGCTGGCCACGACAGAAGGAGGCTGCTGGACAGTCCACAGCCTGGCGGTGCCGGGGAATGTGGCGGGGAGACAGGCGGATCAGCACATCGTATATGTCCAAGGGTGGCCGGAACACTGTCTAAGGAAGAGGGCAGAAGGGGTTATCTGTGCACCCTTCTACATAGCCACCCTGCTTCCCTCCTTCCCACGTTTGACCATCCATTACAGGCCTGTGTGCACTCCTGAAAGCAAGAACAGTAAGAACTCCAGAGAAGCAGGCAGACCAGAGGCTGGAAGAACCAGGCCTCTAGGATCCACCACTGTCAGTCTCAGTAAACAAGGACCCCCCAAACATGTTCAAAGAAGCCTAACAGCTCTTCAAGTTACTACTGTGGATCTGGTGTTTACCCTGATGTCCCCAGGTCCCCGGGGATCCATCAGCTGCTTTTCCAGGATTGGCAGAGCCTCAGCTGCTAGGATCACAAGCTGCTGGAGAATCTGGGAGGTACAGAAACATCAGACAAGAATTGACCATGGGTTTCTCATTTAGGCTGGGCCACTTTCTTCCCAGGATAGAAAAATCAAATTTGGGGGTATATATGGGGTTGCACCTGGGCTGAAGGTCCATCCTGTGTCCACACAGAGCTTTTGCGGTCCTGGGGAGTCATGAGGACCATAACAGGAAGTCGTGTCCGGGCTGCCAGAAAACCGCTGCGGATTTCCACCTGCTCCTCCACTGGAGACAACGTGTCTCTGGGTAAGCCGATCCCTCCCCAGAAGACACCCTCACTACCTCAAGTCCTACTACTGTGCCCTTAGCAGCTGCCCAGCATAGGGATTTTCCAATACTCCTTTCCCAAGGAGCAAAGGTGAAGAGACACTGCCTTTGTTTTAGCTGGGGGATGTTAATCTCTTCTCAGCCCAGAGGCAGAATTTTCCACTGCCTGGCACCCCCTAGGCTGGCTTCCGGGCCTGCACAAGCTGAGGCCTGCTCCTGGCCCCTCTTACCCTAGGCTCCCACACCTGGAGGATTAGGAATCTGACACTCTCCTCTGAGACTCACAACTCCTCAGATTACAACTGGAAATTACCATCCTCACCTGCAGTAAGTGTAGGCTACCAGTTTACACTTCCTTGCTCTGCTCCCCACATAAGACTTCTCACTGGTGTCCAGGATCCCCCTCCACAGCCCCTCAGGTAGCCTGCTTCCCACCTGACCAATCTGTCTCTCACTACCACATTGGCAAATGACTTGCAACAGCCAGGCTTGAGCAAGGTCTCTCCCTCTTCACAACTCCCTAACCTGAGTCAGGTTTAGAAACCTGGGACAGGGTAGGCATAGAGAAAATCTAACAGACACACAGAAAATCTTGCCTGCCTACTCCGTGATCCATATGGGATATTTCTTCCAGCACTCAGACCCCACTCCTGCCACTTACCAGTGAGCTCATTGTTGAGGTTGACAATGAGGGGATTATTCTTCCAATCAAAGGTTGATATGAGAGAAAGGAACCGAAGGAAGCCAACCTGGGGGGAGCTGAGTGGAAGGAGAATGAGTCTGGGGCCCTGCTACACCCCCTCCCAGGATTTTCCCATAATCTAGGGGGCCCACACGCCTTAGTATGGCTTGTGGAAGGCACAGTATCGAAAAACAGCCTCTATCACTTCTTCAGCCCTTTCTCCCATTTGGATTGAGGCTACAGCATGGAGGATGGAAGCCAGTCTCCAAGAATTCCTGCCTGGGGAGAAGTGGAGGGAATCACCTGGGAGGGGTAAAGGGCTCAGGGTGCAGGAAAAGGGCAGCAGTCACCAGATCCAGGCATTCATCAGTGAGCCCCTCACCCAGAAGCTGGGCGCGCACCCACCGCTTGGCCAGCCGAGCTACACCCGAGAAGGCTGGATGCTGCTGCTGGAGTCTGCGGGCAGAAGAACGGCAGTAAGATTCAGGCACTCAGGGCCAAGGATCTGTGTCTTAGCCTCGCTGCTAATATTTATTCAACCCTTACCTAATACTGGCTTCTATGCTAATGCATTATGTACATTTTCCCAATTAACGTCCTAAAAAGTCCACCCTACAAAAGAGAAAAATAAGGTCTGGGAGAAAACCTGCTGCAAGTGGCAGGACCATGATTCTAGAACTTACATCCCTATTATACCACCTGACTTCCCAGAGAAACTGGCAGCCAGGTGAAACAGTAGAGAAGCAGGGAAAGGCATACCCGTGTAGGGCACTGGTGAGCAGGGGCAAGTGCTTGGTGTCTCTCTCTAGGCGGAGGGAGGCAGGGGTGTCTCTCAAAGAGATCATCCCCTCTGGGCTCTGCACCTCCCTCAGTATCTGTGGCTCTCGCTGATAGGCCACGCGGATCCGGAACACAAACCCATCCTATTGGAACAGAGCATGGGGCGAAAGTGAACATCAAGCTGGGACCCAGGGTGGCACCCCTGCCCAGTGCCTAAGGGTCTCTTAACGTACACCCTAACATTCCCAGAGCCTTCTTCTTGGGATCCCTGCCCTGCACCAGTCTGACCTTGAGGACATCGGTGTGTGTGGCAGTGGCACAGCACTGCAGTCCATGCTGCTGTGTCAGTAGCTCTGCCAGGCGCAGCTGGAAGGCAGCTCTGACCCGCCGCACTGCCTCAGCATTCTGAGGCCACTGACCACTGCCCTCCAGGTGACAAACCACTAAGGGAAGAAAATAAAAGGTCTCATGCTGCAGCCTGGAATAGATCTACCTCATCATTTGCTAGTGAAAGCCCTCTTACCAGTCATGGGCTCTACATATGCTGGGCAAGGCTTATCAGACCGAGGTAATAGCAAGGCCCGCTCTCGGAGGTGCTCGTGAAAGGAGTAGGCAGGTCGGACTGGGGTTGGTGGAAACACCTGTGGAAGAAGGGGGTTGAGGAAGGAGCCTAGTATTGAGTGGTCAGGCAGGAAATGGAAGAGACTGGAGCAGAGCAGAAAGGCCTCCTCGTATCATACCTCTGTATAGCGCAGCACTGGGTGGGCTCCCTGAACAGCAGATACAGTTAGAGGAAGGCCCTCCAGCCCCCACAGCAGACGGCTCAGATCATCATAGCAACGCACTGCCATTGTGAGGGCCTCCTCTCCTGTGCTAGAGGTCTGTGGGGGAAAAAGAAGACAGAAGGCTGGATCCTACTTACCCACAGTACCACCTGGGTCCTATCTTGGCTTAGGCTGTAGTAGAGCCAGCACTCCCTCTGCTGGCCATACCAAGAAATACAACCTGGCGGATGTGGGAGGGACAGCTTTTCCAAGGCCTTGCCACTCACTTCACAAGACATAGGCAGACCCCAAAGCTCTTACCTCCTTTGGGCCTTGGATCAATGCATCCAGGAAGCCCCCCACATAGTGGACACAAGTCTCTGGAATGTCAGCATGGCTGAAGAAGGAATGTGGACACAGTGGGGGCATCAGGGGCTATGTACCAGAAGATAAACTGCTAACCCCAACATTCTTCCCTCCCTCCCCCAACAGATATTCTTCTATTCTAAGACTCCACAGGCCATGGTTGCTTCCAGGCATGCAGATGCTAACACTCACAGTGCCAGGAGGTGGGTGACCACCTGATGGGGGATAAGACGCTTCTGGTATAGAGAGGCTGCCTGCCAAACCACAGCTTCCCTAATGGCTCCGTCCTGGAAGCGCCGAAGTTCTGAGCGGGATCCCCAAAACTGGCGGAAGTCAGAAGCCTGAGGAGAGGCAAGTGATAGTAGAAGAGATCAGAAAAAAAGTCTAGCTAAGCATGGTGGCACATGCCTGTAATCTCAGCACTGTGGAGGCTGAGGTGGTAGCTTTGCCATGATTTGAAGTCAGCCTGGACTACACAGTGAGACCATCTCTGACAAAAAGAAGGGAAGTAGAGAGGGAGGGGAGAAAAAAAGGAAGGAGGAAGGGAGGGAGGGAGGGATGAAAGAACAAAGGAGGAGGGAGGAAAGAAAGAACAAAGGAGAAAGGAAGAAAGGAAAGGGAGGGAGAAAAGAGGAAAAAGAAAAAAGAAGGGAGGATGGGAAGGAGGCAGAAAAGAGGGGAGAGAGGGCAGAGTCTTTCAGAAACCTGACAAGCCTCACTCCCAGCATCATGAGGATTATCCAACCCTTTTTCTCATGTACACGATGGGGATCCTTACCTTAGGCTGATCAGCCTCTGGACCCAGCTCGAGAACACTGGTCAGTCCCTCTGGTTGGAGGAGCAATCCCAGAGTCAGGGCCCCAGAGTCTTTGTGCTTTGGTGGATCTTGGCTGATGTCCCACTGTGGGGTATAAAAAAGCTGAGCTTAACTCAAGATTCTCCTGGCTGAGGGAGCATTAAAATCCCTGACTTGAAATTATACTACAAAGCTACTGTGATAAAAACAGCATGTACTGGCAAAAAAATAAAAATGAAAAAAAACCAGACCCAAAGGTAAATAAAACAGATCAGAAAATACTCAGCCACTTTTGACAAAGGCACCAAACACATTCACGGGAAGAAAGATAGCTTCTTTAATAAACAGTGCTGGAAAAACTGGCTCTGCACATGCCAAAGGTTAAAACTGGACCCATGTCTTTCACCATGCACTAAATTTGGAATGGATCAAAGAACTAAATATTAATACAGAAATATTAAATCTGCTGGAAAATGGAATAGGTAACACTCCTGAAGACATTGTAGGCAAAGACCTTATGAAAAACCCTGATCACACAGAAACTGTCACGAACAATTAAGTGGGAGATCATCTTTTTTTTTTCTTTTTTTTTTTTGACGAAGTCGGGGATTGAACTCAGGCTCTTGCACTTGTCAGGGAAGTGCTTATTCTACTGAGCCATCTCCCTGGCCCTTGGGATCTTTCATACAGCTAGAGAAATTACCAACAGAGTGAGAAGAAAACCCACAACATGGAAAAAAAAGTTTGCCACCTATTTCTCAGACAGGTGGTACTGAGAATTACTACTGAGGTTACTGAGAATATATATATTAAAAAAATGTTCAACATCATTGGTCATTCAAGAGATGCAAATTCAAACAACCCTGAGATTTCTGGCCATTATCAAGAAACCAACCAGTAACAAATGCTGGAGGGGCTGTGGGGTAAAAGGAACCCTCCTCCACTGCTGGTGGGAGTTTAGACTGTGCAACCATTGTGGAAATCAGTGTGGAGATTCCTCAAAAAACTAGGATTGAAGGTACCATTTTAACCAGCTATTCCTCGTCTGGGTATCTTCCCAAAAGTAAAAAATACCATGCCACAGTGATATATGTGCACCTACGTTTACAGCAGCACAATTTGTGCTGTTAGATTTTGAAAACAACTCAAGTGCCCATCAATCAAGGAAAGATAAAAAAGATGTGGTCTTTTTATACAATGGAGTACTACTCAGCCATAAAGAAGGATAAACTGGAGATTTTTAGGTAAATGGATGCAACTCAAGACCATACCCAAAAAGTGAAATAAACCAGATGTACATGTGTAAACATCATATTGTCTCCCTAGTGTGAAAAGCTGAAAGAATAAATAAGATCCAAAATGCATCATAGATAGGGCTGGGGAGATAGCTCAAATAAGTGCTTGCCTGGCAAGCTCAAGGTCCTGAGTTCAATCCCTGGTACTGTAAAAAAAAAAAAAAAAAAAAAAAAGTATAATAGATATTGTAAAAGGGAAAGAACTTGAGGTGGGGATATAGCTCAGTGGCACAGCACCTACCTGGCAAGCACAAAGTTGTGAGTTCAATTCCTCATAAAAGGGAAAGAACTTCAAAAGGAAAGAGAAATTTGGATGGGAAATAGAGAAAAGGACAAAGCAAAGAAAAAACAAAAAAAACCTCCCAAACTATGTATATATACATACACATATGTATGTGGTAAATATATGATAGTTGTGCTACTAATCGTCTTAATTAATTGAAAAGACCTATACTAATATTGCTTGGACAATTAAATGCTGTTCCGTCATCTGAGTAATTTATTTAAAGATAACAATACACAATGTGTTAACCATTGCTACCCTATTATGTTGTTTTGATATTTTTTTCTCTTAAAAAAAAAAATCCCAACCTGGCTAGAAACGAAATACACCTTCCAGTTAGCTAGAAGGACGATGGCATGCCCTCTATCTGTTAGAACACTGGATAGTACTGCTTATTCCCCATCCTATACCAAATCACCTCTGGAACTGGGGGCCGAGAGTGTGCCAGCAGCTGCAGTCGGGTCCCCAGACCCTGCTCCAGGAGGGCAGTTAGTGGGCCCAAAACAGCTGACACATAGTCCCCACCATTGTCCTGCAGTTCTGGACAGAGCTTTAGCCGGTGACACGCTGCCTGCAGGCGACTCACAGGACGGACACTAGAGGGGCAGAGGAGAAAAGAGTAATCAAGGTATGTCAGTCTAGTGTACTGTCTCCTCTTTGGAAAATCTAATCATCTGCCTAAGGACCTTTAGCCCATGCTCCCAAAAGTCAGGACCCACCCACATACCCTGTCACCCCTAAACTCACTGCAGGATATGGTCAAAAGACCGGACCATAGGTTTGCGAGTCATCAATAGCAGCTGGAATCCATCGTCAGCTTTGCTGTCCAGCAGCACAGTAGATAGCCGTGCCTCATGCTGCACCTGAGGCCACAAGAGTAAGGAGGATCCGTCACCATACCCTTCTTTGACCCAAGGACTCAGACCAGGACATGGGCCTGACCTCATCTCTTTGAACGAGTTTCTGGGGCTCTGGTGCTGCTCAAACAGTCTAAGTTAGGATATCTAGGGAATGTAGGAGGACCCATTGGTACCTGGTGGTAAGTAGAGGCAGTGACATCAGCACAGAGGTTGAGACGGCCTGATGAGTCCAGGAAGACAACAGGAAAGGCTTGGTGAAAGTCAGCCAGGGTTGGCTTGGAGGATAGAGAAAAACCAATCAGGGTTGAGCTTTACCTTCAGGCTCCTAGGCACAGTTTGGAGCCTTTCTCAACTCACCAAAGAGGGATCTGTGCTGAGACATAAACTGATCCCATTAATGGTCAAATCTGTTGTGGCTGGAGGGAATAACCAAAAGGGTATTAGAAGGAGTCCTTTGACTAGAGAGCCAGCCCCAATCCCCTCCCCTCCCCCCATCGTGGTGGCTGCAACCACCTGAATCCAGCATTTGGTTTACTCATGTGACAGCAAGGAATCAAAGGATTCCTGGAGTAAGTAAAGCCCCTGGCCTTTCCCAGTTTAGCTGCCTCACCCAGAAACTGTAAGACGCTTCTCAGGACCTGGTAGCCGCTCATAGTTGTGTGGATTTTGCGTGTGGACACAAGGAAGGCAACCAGCATGGAGATAAGGAACCCATTAAATCCACCCAGGCCCTGCAACAGAGAGGAAGAAATCTGCACTCAAAGCCAGCCCAGCACACAGCAAGACAAGGAGGCTAGGCTGCTCCAAACTCACTGTGTTCAGTTCCCGCTGCCGCAGCCAGACCTTCAAAAGTGTTACACCATCTTTCAGCCCTTGGGCAGAGCCCAGCACAGCTGAAAGCAGCTGCATATGGTACTCCAGAGCTGTATCCTGCAGGACCCATGTGTTGTAGTGAGGAGTAGGGGGTTCTGGTTTATTTGTGAGAGAAAAAGAGAAACCATGGAATGAGAAGTCACTACACCCCTCCCCTCTAGCACCAGTCAATACCAGCACTTGCTCACCATCTCCTGGATGACTCTGTCCTTGGTACCAGGTGGAGCGCACATTGTTCTTAGTGGGCAATAAGCGACATGGACGGAAAAAGTCAGGTGGAGGGCATGGATGTAGGCGTACAGTGACCAAGTGCTCATCCTTTCCTGGGTAGAGACATGGAATGCTGAGACCCTGTATCTCCTGGAACTCAAGAAGTTGCCACAGAACCCTTCCTATACTTGAGGACACCATGCTTCCCCATCTCAGAATGTGAGGTCCTTATCCTGCCCTTCTAACTTGAGCCCCATGCCTCTCACCATGCCCTTGAGACTCACTCCTAGTCCCCTAAACACCTTGTGCTCCTCCCTCCAAACCTGCTCTCACAGCTCAGTGTACACCTCCCACCATGTGGCCTTAGCAGCAGCGACGGTTTCAGGTGGCAGCCATTGGTGTAGGAGAAGCGCACACTGCCAAACAGGGGATCTTGAGCCAGGTGGTGAGCCAAGTAGGCCAGGTACAGTGCACGCTTGCGGAAATAACGCTGGTTCAGCAGGTCCTTATCTTGTAAGATTTCCTGAGGGGGCCAAAGGAGAGAGGGCCAGGCATATAAATGTGTGCAGAATTTGAGGCTAAAGATATAGCAAGGCTGGAGTCCCAGGGATTCTCCGCTGACAGTAGAGTTCCTGAGCCAGGGCTAGCAATACCATGCTTAATTCTCAAATGAAGAAAGAAACGTTCCAGAACAGTAGCAACTCCTCATCAGTCCATGTAGGGTGCTCTGAAGATGACTGCTATGGTATGTTCTTTTGATTTAGAATTCCAATTTTAACCCCATGGAAAGTGACATGTGGGAGAGAGCGGCTGCTCAGGGATTTCTAAGTGGTCAAGTACTTGGCTTTCTACTTGCAAACCTTACCTTGGGCATAGTCAGTGCTATATCCACATTGATGTTGGGCCGGGTACAGGTGCTCAGAGGGTAGCTGCCCACAACAATGACTTGGGTTGGAGGTAAGAAGCGGAAAGAACCCTTCACAGAATAGGGCACTTGATGGAGGGGGACTTGAACCCCAGCTGGGAGCCAGGCCTGGTCAATAAGCTGTGGGGGTAGAGAGGGTGACACATGTTGATACTAATGTCAAACTCACATGGATACCATTATCTTTATTCTAGTGGATTTGCCACCAGCACAATGAGAAAACCGTTGCTAAGATAAAATGGTCAAGGACTCACGTCAACTCTGCTATCACTGCACACAGATGTGGGGCAAGTCCACGACCACTGGGCTTCTCATCTACAACTGTGGTGGGACTGACAGAACCACTGAGAGGTGGACGTGGTCATGGACCTCTGCAGTCGCAGCACATGGGAGGCTGAGGCAGGAGAGCATGAATTTAGAGCCAATAAGGGCTACATAGTGAGACCTTGTAACCAAAAACCCACAAATTGGGGCCGGGGAGATGGCTCAGTGGAATAAGTGCTTCCCTAGCAAGCGCAAGTACCTGAGTTCAATTTCCAGTTCTGCCAAAAAACAAAAAACAAACAAAAAAACACCCATACAAATTCAAAAGAAAAGGGTGGCAACCTGGCGCAGCGGTTAATGCGCCGGGCTCTATACCGCGAGGTCGCCGGTTTGAGCCCCCGTCCCGACTCTTGGGGCAGAGGAGATGGCTCAATAGGATAAGCGCTTGACCGGCAAACGCAAGGATCTGAGTTCAATCCCCAGTTCTGAAAAAAAAAAAAAAAAAAAAAAAAATTCAAAAGAAAGAACCCCTGAAAAATCTGGGGAGGTTGCTAAGAAAGGGTGGCTCAAGCCCATCTGGGTTGCCAAGCAGGGCAGTTAGTGATACTGTCTCAAAATAAATACAAAAAGAAATAGCTAGACACCATGGTGCACACCTATAATCCCAGTATTTGGGAGGCTGAGGCAGGAGGATTGCTGAGAGTTTTAAGGCCAGCATAGGCTACACAGTAAGTTCAATGCCAGTCTGAACTACATGGTGAGATCTCCATCTCAAAAACTAAAAAAGCAAGATGTAACTCAGTAGCAGAGAATTTACATAGCAAGCCTGAGGCCCTGGGTTCAATCTCCAGTATAAAAAAAGGGTGTGAATTAACTAAAAGCTGAGCCTGAGATAAGTATTACTGCTATATCCCTATGGAAATTTGAGACCAGCTGCATTATGTGAATGTCTTTGACTTGCTATAACAGTAATGACGAACTTTTTAGAGACAAGAGCCTGAACTACCCCACAAACACACTTAATTAACACAAAGGACAAACAATGCAATTAAACCGAAAAATTGGGGCCGGGGAGATGGCTCAGTGGAATAAGTGCTTCCCTGGCAAGGGTCTGAGTTCAATCCCCAGTTCCGCAAAAAAAAAAAAA